TTTAAAAATTAAATTTAAAAACAATTTGTCATATAGTTTTTATTAACATTTTCAAAACTTAAGCTAAATTTTGAAAAAATAAAATTAGTTAGTTAAGAATTTAAATATGTTTTCAATAGAGATGAAAAAATTACTGCATAAATTAAGAAAATGTAAAATAAAAAACGAAATGTGTATAAAAGTGCACCTTTATTTCTGTTTTTTTTCCTTCCGAAATAGAACATGATTATGTTTTCTGTTACTTTATTATTAAAAATTAAAGGGAATGTTTTGGTTATATTATAATCTTTCAATTATAGACATGTTGAATTTAAGTCTATTTTCGGAATTAAAACTTAAAATGTAATAGGAACACTAATTTACATCTCCAAAGAACAATTACTTTGAAGATTTGCAATTTGTTTTCAAAACTAAGTTTTTGTTTCGTTTTAAAAAAATTTTTTTAGAAATTGTGATTGAATAACTTGGTCAAATTATAAGTTCGTTTATTTATTTATTTTTTTGATAATTGAGAGTCATAACTTTGCTTTCTTATATTCAAAAACTCCAAGTTCTGGTCTCGAAAAACATAAACTCCAAGGTCTAGCCTCGAAAAACATAAAGAGTTTTTTTGTTTTAAGTTCACCTAAAGGTTCAAACTTTAATATTATAAATTTAATTCACAAACTATGAATAGTTATAGCTGGCTACTACCTTAAGAATCAAACATGATCATGTTAGCTTGCAAGGTGCAGAAAGAGTTGGCTATGACAAGCCTGCATTCATAAAAGGGCAAAAATTGAATGCACATGAAAGAAATGAACGGTCAACCCAATAATAGGGTGCCTTTGAAAGAGCCATTGCCATCAGAGAGTTAGCGTTAATGGCTACGAGCAAAATGGTCGGGAGTTAGGCTAAATTATAAGTTTAATTCACAAATTTTGATGGTTATATCTCTCGATTATGTTTAGGATTGTGATTTGACAGAGTTAAAATAGTTATTTAAATATAACATCATACACTTACAAGACAAACCTTGTATGATTCCAAATTCTCTCATAATTTGTACTCAAAAGGGCACACAGTAGGATGAAGCTTGGCCAAGTACAATATAAAGCAGTTAGCAGACCGTCAATGGGGTGTTCTGCACTACTCGTATAGCTCAATGTGAAAACTTTAGAGATCTGTAAGTGTACCTCTGGCCATCCATTGTCAAGGTTAGATGATTCCCAGAAGCGAAAAATTGTTGTTTCGAACAGCAACTTCGGACTGGACTCCTGTATGAGAGACTACTCCATTCGTGTTGAGAGTATTGAAGCACATGATACAAATACAACCCTTGATCTGAAGGGGAGACTTGCAACAAAGCCCATCTCCATGGAAGTGTTTGGAGCAAAAGGTATAGTTCAGAGTTCAGTGATCAGTGATCATCTTCACTAATTCCTGGACAGTTAGATATGAGCAACTCCATCGAGTCGTACTGGCAGAAGCAGAAGAAGGATGTTAGAAAAGCAGGATTCTGGTGGTTGGTAATATAACATAGAAGACTACAAAAAGATAAAGTGCTTCAGTCTTTAACTATTGTGTCAGAGAATGGTGTATGTAATATGTCACCTGGTATCCACAGAAAACGCAATATCGATGTTCATCTCTCAGTTTCATCAATACATCCTCCAAATCCTGCATCAATTAGTCTTGTGTCATTCCAATTCCCAAGTAACGCTCACCAGAAATAATGCAAAATAATATCATGAATAATGTATTGCAGCCAAGCAGGCAGGTCTTATTAGGTCTACAAAAGGAACTTCACCATAAAAGACATTTAATACCCATAAGACTAACTTGGTTCCAGGATTTGAGTTATGACCTAAGGTTCATGCTAATTGGAATACCTTTCTGCAACCTCCGTGCCTCGGGTTCTTTCCTTTTTGTGCATTACATTAAATCATGACATTGTTACTTTTACATAAACCAGTTATCCTTGGAGTGGTACTGTAGTCAAATCAAGCATGTGGAGGGGAAAAGAAAAGATTTGACAGAGGTGTTGAACCAAGTTTGTGTTATGTGAAATTTTTCAACGTAAGAAAATCCGTTTTCTTGGCAAGTGTCCACCATCCCAAGTATTAGAGCTTGAGTTGAAAAGGTAATGACATATTGAATTTAGTTTCTTTCCAAGTGTCTTTACTTGCCAAAGAAGATTACCGTAGACTGTAGTTAACATCAACATTCTACTTGGTTCACAAGATGCAAAAAAGATGCAAAAAAACTGTTGACAGAAGCTACATAGAACCAAAAATATGAAGCTATCTTGAATGAAACTTAAAGAGAAACTTTATAGAATATAAGCAAAAACTTTCAGAAGGCTCTCACCATGATGCTTCAAGCTAGAGATGATGAAAAAAACTTTTTGTGCAATTAAAGCCAAAAAATTATAGTAGGCTATCTAAAGTGATTGATTCACGAATAAAAATTGATTGGCAGTTATGAAGCATTGTATATGAAGATTCTGAGAGATTCAATATGCTTGATTCTACCAATCACAGCTCCAATTGAAACTAGAATGAAATTGATAAAAGAGCTAAATGGAAAATATTTTGATCCTACACAAATAGCTTTTCTTGTTTGTTTTTGCTTTATGAGAATCCCCCACACACTTCCAACAAATGGTATAGAAATAAGATCCAAGAAATGACAAAATCATGAAAGTCATTCAATTCATAAAAAGTAACCTACAATCAAATCTTGAATTGTTCTACGAGTGCCTTGCAACTCTATAAGAAACATTTGGGGGGAAATTAAAACGGTCGTCCAAATGCCTAACCTTTGTATTAAGGCAATACAATTGGATGGGCGCTTATGGTCCAGCCCTTTATCAAGGCACTCCAACATAATTCATGCTAAACCTGCAACTCTCCACTGACTACTAAATTTGCCTTCTACCTATTGTAACGTATCTTAAATAATGTATTATGATCTTAACTCTAGCTTCAGAACGAGAATCTATTTCAAACTATGTAAGATAATGGTAAATTTTTCTCACTTTTAAGCCCAACATTGTCATAGAAATTAGAGAAATTTTACTTAAAGTTAACGGGGGGTGCAGGATGCTAGAATTTGCAGAATAGAATTGTACCTCTTCTGTTATAATCTCTTCCTCTTCTTCTTCCTGATCTTCTTCCTCTTCATTGTCCTTCTTCTCAGGCTCCACAATTTCCTTATTCTCCAATTGATCAAGTGCAGCCTTCGCCTTCTTGTAATTGACCACAATTCTTCGACTTCGCCACTGCAACTTCTGTCGAGACCCAAATTCCTCCATTAAAGCCTCCTGATGGCTCCTCTTTGTCTGAGCTCTAAACTCTTCTTGCTTCTTCTTCTCTTTGATCGGATCTTCCCTGCCAATTCCAGCTCGTGACCGTCGAATCTCAAGTCCCACTGGTTCTGCCAGACCTGATCCCCCCTTGCCCAAAGCTGCGCCAGGGGTGTACCCCATTTGCTTCAACAATTTAAACCCAATGTTCGATTGTGGAATTGGAGCCTCTATTCTGGCTAACGTCTGTTCATCTTCTTCGAATTGCTTCCGTTCTCTATCCAATCTGCGCTGTTCTTGCCAATTGAAGGTTTTGGGCTTCTTCTTCGAGGATTCAAC